ACAAACTCTTGACCATTCTTTCCTTCCAAGACAACAGCTCCATATGGCCGGACTTCAAGAACCTTAAAAGGACCAGACCATCTAGACTTAAGTTTTCCTGGAAACAACTTAAGCCTAGAGTTGAACAGCAACACTAGATCTCCTTCCTTGAACTCCCTTTTCAAAATCTTTTGATCATGCAAAGCTTTGGTCTTCTCCTTATAGATCTTTGAGCTCTCAAAAGCCTCAAGCCTAATCTCCTCAAGTTCATGGAGTTGCATGACCCTTTTCTCTTGAGCTGTCTTGATATCAAAATTCAGCAACTTCACAGCCCACATAGCCTTGTACTCCAACTCAACAGGAAGGTGGAAGCTCTTCCCATATAGCAGACTGAAAGGTGATGTCCCAATTGGAGTTTTAAAGGCAGTCCTATAAGCCCACAATGCATCATCTAGCCTTTTGCTCCAATCTTTTCTGCTTGAGCTAACAGTCCTCTCAAGAATGGCCTTGATTTTTCTATTAGATACTTCAACCTAGCCACTAGTTTGAGGATGATATGGAGTAGCTATCTTGTGTTTCACTCCATGCTTTCTCAACAAACCCTCCAAAGTCTTGTTCACAAAATGAGATCCTCCATCAGAGATAACAACCCTTGGAACTCCAAATCTTGGGAAGATAATGCTCTTGAACAGCTTCACTACAACCTTGGAATCATTGGTAGGGGAAGCAATGGCCTCAACCCATTTGGACACATAGTCTACAGCAACAAGTATATACTGATTCCCATAGGATGAAATGAAGGGCCCCGTAAAGTCAATCCCCCAGCAATCAAAGATCTCAACTTCTAGAATTGGGTTTTGAGGCATCTCACTCGTCTTTGATATGTTTCCATACCTCTGACAGGCATCACATGCTGAAACCACTAACTGAGCATCTTTGAACATTGTGGGCCACCAAAACCCACTCTGAAGAACCTTGGCCACAGTCTTGAATGCTCCCATGTGACCTCCAAAAGCTGAACCATGACACTCTTGCAACACAGGTTGCATCTCCTCCTCAGCCAGACACCTTCTATACAGCTGATCTTTGTTCAGGACATAGAGGTAGGGCTCATCCCAATGGTATCTTTGAACATCTCTGAAGAACTTCTTCCTTTTGCAAGCATCTAATTCAGGAGGCTCCACCCCACAGGCAAGATAGTTCACAATGTCTGCAAACCAAGGCATCCTCCTCTCTTGAATGCTGTCCACTTCTTCAAACTCCAAATAAGAATGGAGCACCATCAGTGATTCCTCAGGAAGACTGTCATTAGGAGGCACTTCAGAGTCAATTCTCAGCCTAGAGAGATGGTCTGCAGCTCCATTCTCTATACCCTTTTTGTCCTGTACTTCCATATCAAACTCCTGAAGTAGAAGAACTCATCTCAATAGTCTTGGCTTAGCATCTTTCTTGGTCATCAGATACCTGAGGGCTGCATGATCAGTATATACAATGACTTTTGATCCCACCAGGTAGCTTCTGAATTTATCAAAGGCAAAGACTATTGCCAACATTTCCTTCTCAGTAGTAGCATACTTCTCTTGTGCAGAGTCAAGTGTTCTACTAGCATAGTAGATGACATGAAGCTTCTTATCTTTCTTCTGGCCAAGTACAGCTCCAACTGCAAAATCAGATGCATCTGTCATAACCTCAAAAGGAAGGGACCACTCTGGGGCTTGGACAATTGGTGCACTGACTAATGCATCCTTGATCATCTTGAAGGCCTCTTCACATTCAGCATCGAAGATAAAATCAACTTCTTTACACAACAGTCTTGTCAAGGGCCTGGCAATTCTTGAGAAGTCTTTGATAAATCTTCTGTAAAACCCTGCATGCCCAAGGAAACTTCTTATCCCTTTGACTGAAGTGGGAGTTTGCAGGTTCACCATTACTTCTACTTTTGCTCTGTCAACCTCTATGCCCTTCTCAGATATCTTGTGCCCAAGTACTATTCCTTCCTGCACCATGAAGTGGCACTTCTCCCAGTTCAACACCAAGTTATGCTGCTCACATCTCTCCAAGACCTGTGACAAATTAGAGAGACAATCCGAGAAGGAGGAGCCATAGACACTAAAGTCATCCATGAACACCTCAACTTTCTCTTCAATAATGTCAGAGAAAATGTGCATCATACATCTTTGAAAAGTGGTCGGTGCATTACATAAACCGAAAGGCATTCGCCTGTATGCAAATGTGCCATAAGGGCATGTGAATGTTGTTTTCTCTTGATCTCGGGGATCTATGGGAATTTGAAAGAACCCCGAGTACCCATCGAGAAAACAAAAGAAAGGGTGGTTTCCAAGCCTCTCTAACATCTGATCAATGAAAGGCAAAGGAAAATGATCCTTCCTAGAGGCTGCATTGAGCTTTCTATAGTCTATACACATTCTGTGTCCTGTGACAGTTCTAGTAGCTATAAGCTCATCCTTCTCGTTTTTCACCACTGTGATCCCACCCTTCTTGGGCACAACATGAACATGAGACACCCATCTTGAGTCAGAGATTGGGTAAATTATCCCTGACTCAAGAAGTTTTAGTATCTCCTTCTTAACCACTTCCTTAAGGTTGGGGTTAAGTCGTCGTTGATGCTCAATAGAGGACATAGATTGGTCCTCTAGGTGGATCCTGTGGGTACAAATGTCAGGAGAGATCCCTCTAATATCAGCCAATGAATATCCTATGGCTCTCCTGAACTTTCTTATCTCACTAAGCAATGCACTCTCTTGATCCTCTAATAGGCTATCATTGATGAATACTGGATATGTGGAGTTTAAGCCCAAGAAAGCATACCTGAGCCCTGTTAGTAGAGGCTTGAGCTCAACAGGGGGTGCATCAGCCTCATTCCAATCCTGGTCCAAGCTGCTTTGGCTGGTGTCTGATCCATTGATAGCCAAGACCTCAGAGCCACCTTGTTCCAGCTCCAAAAACCTTGTCTCAGGACCCAGCTCTCTTGCATTGTCCAGATACAGCTTATACCCTTCACTTGCTTCAGCTAAGAGCCCATTTTCTCCTTGTTCTTGAGTTAGAGCAGCTTGAAGAGGATCCTCAGTGTTCAGCTCCTCAAGAAACTCATCAGCCAACTGATCCATTGTCTCCACATAGAAACATTGACCTTCAATGGTGGGTTTCTTCATCATCTCATTCACAACAAACTTGAGCTTTTCAGACCCAAGTTGAAGCTCTATTATCCCACCTCTCACATCAATTATGGCTCCTGCAGTTGCTAAGAATGGCCTGCCCAAGATAAGAGGATCTACTGGTTCCTCATCCATTTCCAGCACAACAAAATCTGTTGGAACCTCAAAACCACCAATCTTGACAGGTAGATCTTCCAACATACCAACAGGCAATCTAACTGATCTATCTGCAAGGATAAGAGAGATCCTTGCAGGATTGAAGACTCTAAATCCCAGCTTCTTTGCTATGGAGAATGGCATCAAGCTGACTGATGCTCCTAGATCACAAAGACATCCAGAGAATAGAAGAGGTCCAATGGCACAAGGGAGTGTGAAACTCCCTGGATCAGTTAACTTCCTTGGAATGGACTTCTTCTGAATGATAGCACTGCATTCATGACTTAGTACCACCATGCCTTGAAGCTCCTTTGTTTTGTTCAGAATGGCATCCTTCAAGAACTTCCCCATCTTTGTCATCATTAAGAATGCATCAATGAGAGGCATTGTGAGGGGTGTCTCCTTGAGTGCCTTCTCAAATACAGCTCTTGCCTTGTCCACAAGTTGCTTCTTAAATCTCCCTGGAAATGGGAGCTTGGGTTGGTATAGAGGTGGTGGCACATATTTCTTCTCTGGTTCTGGTTCCTTTGCTACCTCTTTACCCTTTTCTGTCCTTGGTTTCTCAGCAACTTGATCATCTTTTAAGGCTGCCTCCCCCTCAGTTTGATCATTGTCCTCAATGATCACATTGTTATTCTCAATACCAGGTAACTCCTTTCCACTTCTCAGTGTAATGGCCTTGGCATATTCTTTGGGGTTAGGTTCTAGTTTTCCAGGTAGGTGACCTTGGTTCCTTGAGCTTGAGGCCTGGTTCTGCTTCAGTTCCTTGATTTATTGCTGCATGGCTGCATTCTGGCTTGCAAAGATCTGTTGACCCTGAAGTAGCTGTTGCAGAATACCAACCATATATGTACCCATCTGTGGCTGCTGTTGAACCGTTGGTGGCTGAAACTGTTGTTGAACAGGCGCTTGCTGTTGGAACTGTGGTGGACCAAACCCTGGTGGTGCCTTTTGCTGCTGTGAACTGAAACTATGAACTTGAAATGGTTGTTGTTGTTGGAGGTGAAAACCGCACCCCGGTTTTCTCCGGTACAAACCGAGATCGACATAACATAAGCCCGGTTCACAAAGGAATGTACTGGGAAGACTGGGCCGAGTAAATTCTTGGGCCGAACGCAGCCCATTAAGCCAAGGTCGGCGAGAAGCTTTTCAAAGGAACCGAGGAGTTCCCCGAGTTCGGTCGAGAATAGGAAAGTTGCCTAAAGGAAAAAGGAAACTGCTACGAGAAAAGGAAAAGGACCGACAGAAAAGGAAAGTCCTCTCGGTCCCATATCGCTGAAGATGTTCTCGATGACCGACTCAGAGGATATATATAAAGGAAGATGAATCGACACCAGAGAACACAAGAGATTCCAGAGAAGACTTAGAGACTGAGAACTCATTACGCTAGATTCTTAGTTTCATAAAGTCTTAGCTCGTTGTTAACTGCTTAACTACCGGACTCAGTTGTATTCTCTCGATTCGATCTAATAAATATCGAGTTTACCGATCTAAAGTACTGTTTTACCCTTTGTCGATATTCACTTATCAACAATTGGCGTGCCAGGAAGGGGAACTAAACAGAGTTTTCAGTCTTAGATCGGACTTCGGATAGATCGAATCAGCAATGACGGATCAAACAAACATTCACGAGGAAGGAAACCCTCTCGGTGGAGAGAACTCTAACGTCCGAAACCTAGCGGAACAGGGATGAGGAATTCCTGGGGAAAACACTCATTCCGCCTTGGCTTCCCGGCGTCCAACAATGAAGCCGAATACGAAGCGTTAATTGCCGGACTACGACTTGCTAAAAATATCGGTGCCGAACACGTACACGCCTACTGCGACTCTCAACTTGTGGCTAACCAATTTCACGGCAAATACGAGGCCAAGAACGACCGCATGGACGTGTACCTCAAAGTCCTTAAGGATATTGCTTCGGAGTTCTCAACCTTCGAGCTTACAAAGATACCTCGTGATGAGAATGCAACCGCCGATGCTTTAGCCGCTCTTGCGACTAATTCTGATCCCGATCTTCAGCGAACTATCCCAATTGCGGCAATTGAACGACCAAGTATCGAGCCTGCTCTGAACTGCAACATCATTACACGAAGACGTGATTACGAAGCCCAACCCAATCTCGCTCCACCCCTGACCCGGAAGACGAAACCCAGAGAAGTCGTCACCGATCTCGACACCAACATGGACGAACAACCTGATAATAATTACGATCTCGAAGATGAGTCTGAGGGTCAACACGTTCCAATCGATATCAAAGCCGAAGGTGAAGAAGAGCCTGAAGATTGGACCTTAGAAATTGTGGGCTACATTGGAGATGGAACAGTCCCCGCAGATAAATGGGCAGCTCGGCGCCTCAAGGCGCATGCAGCTCGGTATGTGGTCATTAAGGGCACTCTCCTCAGATGGGACGCATCCGGTGTACTCTTGACTTGTGTTCACGGCAACGACATCATTGAAGTAATGCAGAAAGTTCATGAAGGAGAAGGAGGAAATCACTCAGGAGCTCGGTCTTTGGCATTCAAGATAAAAAAGCTGGCTATTATTGGCCCACTATGATTTCTGACTGCGAAAAATATACAGCACGCTGCGAGAAGTGCCAACGTCATGGCCCGATGATCAACCTTCCTACCGAGCTCTTGATGACCTCGACCGCACCATATCCTTTCATGCGCTGGGCAATGGACATCATCAGTCCTTTTCGCCGATCTACGACTCAGAAGCAATACGTTCTGGTCGTCACGGACTACTTCACCAAATGGGTCAAAGCCGAGGCATACCCCGAGATTCATGGAATCGATGTCAAGAAGTTCGTCTGGAAATTTATCATCTGCCGACACGGAGTTCCGTACGAGATCGTTACGGACAACGGAACCCAGTTCACTTCGATAATTTCACAGATTTTTGCGCCAAGTGGAAAATCAGACTAAGTTTCTCTACCCCGCGATACCCACAAGGAAACGGGCAGGCCGAAGCCACGAACAAAACCATTATCGATGGTCTGAAGAAGCGACTCGATACCGCTAAGGGAACTTGGGCGGACGAACTCGATGGTGTCTTGTGCTCTCACCGAACTACACCACTACGTTCGATCGGTCAGTCACCATTCTTCCTTGCATATGGTACAGAAGCTATGTGTCCAGCCGAACTCAACGTCCCAAGTATTCGCCGAACCATGCTCACCCAGCAACCCGACGCGAATAACGAGATGATGCTCGACACAATCGACTTAGTCGAAGAACATCGCGAACGAGCATTACTCCAGATACAAAATTACCAACAACTGGCAGCTCGCTACTACAACAAGAAGGTTAAAGGCCGTCACTTTGAAGATGGCGATCTCGTACTTCGCAAAGTCTATCAAAACACAGAAGAAAAAAACGCAGGTAAACTAGGCTACCGATCAAATAAAGTCGAGTTCAGATTGAATATCGATCTACTATTTAAGGAAAAATTAGAAACCATTGAAATAACGAAAGACATATCATAAAGCCTTCTGAAAGGCAAATAGGTTTAAAAACCCACCGAGGGTTCAGAAATAAACAAAATATTACATAACCCATGAAAGGGCAAATAAGTTCGAGTCAAAAGAAGAGAAACAAAAAAAGACTAAGCGGTCTTTGAGGTTGCAGCTTGATCGGCGTTCAGCATGTCCTCGTTCGAACCGAACTGCTCGCCTACCACCGGGTCATGAGCACTCTGAGTCACGTTCACGGCCGGCGCGTCGTCTTCCTCCGAAAACGGAGACATTCGCTTGTCCTCTTCAGTAAGGACGCAAGCGTCGACCGAACGGAAATCTTCTAGAGCTTTGGCGTGCTTTGCCTCGATGTCAGCTACCATCTCAGGCGGGACCTCGTACAAACCTTTCTTCTTGAGCTGCTTGATGAAGCCGAGAATCCGGTGAGCTGGTTGACCACCAGGTACGGCTTACGAGCCCGATCAGCATCATCCAAGCTTCGGATGACCTTCTCTAAGCGCTCAAAGGCCTTTGCGTGAACGCTCTTAGCTCAACCCTTCCAGTGGGTCACCAAGTCCCTCAGCCGCTCCCGGTCTTTCTCGAACTCCTGAACAAGCATGCTCTGAGCCTCGGTAAGCTCCTTTCTCACCGCTTTCAACTCCGCGCTCTCTTGCTTCAGCAGATCGACCGAGGAGTGGAGAGTGTCATTGATTTGGAGCTCGGTAGCAAGGCGCTCTTCCACTTTGACGACCCTCTCCTCAAGCTCGGCAATCCTGACCTGCTCGTCATACAGTGCGACTTCATACGCCGCGACCAAGTTGTTGGTCTGACTGGCGAGCTGCACAAAGTGAAACATGAGTTAGAGCTCATACTCGGAAAAATATTAAAATCAAGAAAAGAAGTAAGGAAATTACCACGGCAGTTGTACGTGCGATCCCCTTGTACATATTGGGGAAACGGAGCTCAGCCACTGCCGGGAGACTCGGGACCTGAGAAGAGATCTTATGGTAGAGTTCGGCGCAGGCATCGATGTTCTCCTCGAAAGGAGTCTCCTCATCGTAGTCGAAGCAGACCTTCGCCCTCTTCGCTGGCTCTGGCTCTGGAGAACCCTCGGTGCGGTCTCCAGCTTTTCTCTTTCGAGAATGAGAAGCCTCAGCTCGATCTTGAAAAAGAGCGAGGTCTGACGCCACAGCCGTCGGTGCCTCGAGCTCAGCGGGAGCGTCCTGCGCCCGAGAAGAGTCTTCAATCCTCTTAGTCTTCTTCGAGGACTTTTTCTTCTTCAGCTTTTTCTGACCATTGTGGTCAGGTGAGTTCGCAGCGAGCGGCGGTTCTTCAGGTTGTTCCCTAACCTCTTCGGTAGCAGGAACGGGGTTCGGAGTCGCGTCGTTCGGCTCCTCTTCGCCGAACAGAGTTGGGATCTCTTCCAGCGAAAGCATCCTGGCAGTTCGAGGTCGTTTAGCCTGCGGTTTTGGTGCTTTGCGTCTTGGAGCAGCTCGGGGCTTGTTAGCTCGAGCTTTTGGCTTCCGCGGTTTCGGTTCTCCGACAGAAGCTGTAATGAAAATATGTCAAGGAGGAGTTCGGAATAAACTCAGAATAAAACAAATAAAACTGAACTTAATAGTCGAACCTGCTTTCTTAGCTCGGCGCTGAAGAATCTCTTCCCACACTTCAGGCCAACGACGTTTACCGGCTTCGCTGAAAGCTGCTTCGAATTCAGATGTGAGTCCGGAGTTAAGAATAATGCTCGGGAGATGACGACCTGCAAAGAGGAATCGAAAGAGAATTAAGCAAGATACAAAGTCAAAAATCAACTAAGTATAAGATCATCTAAATCTACCGATCGGAATCTTCCACTCCGATTGAGATGGGATGTCAGAGTTGCTGACGGTGAGATCGTTCATCTCGAGGTAGAAATACTAGGATTCCCAGTCATTGAATTTACTGGGCTTAGCCCCAGTAACAATGTTCTTTCTTGGCTTGGCGTTCGCTGCGAAGAACCATTCCTTAGATTTGTGGATGTTGACCGAGAAGAGGTCTTCAAACAGCCGAATGGTTGGGATTTCGCCGAGCTCGTCGCATAAGGTAACGAATCCTACGTAGTTCGTTATTGAGGCCGGCATCACCTGCGTGAGAACTACGCCGTGACGATTGCAGTAGCCAAGTAGACGAGAAGGAATCGGAAGGGTGAGCCCGCACTGAGTGAAAAACATCAGGTAGATGCAAAGGAAACCTTCAGGAACGTCCCATGGTCGATCTCCAGCTTCCGGTATAATGAAGATGACCTTGTCTGAAAGCCCGTTCTCCTCGAGTACGGCTCGAACGGCACCCGGAGAGAGAGAACAAGATGGCACGTTATGCGGACGAACAACTTTTCGCCTCGGAAGTGGCGGCAAAGCATGGTTCACTGCTTCAAGATTATCCTCGGCGACTCCTGCTTCGGTAGTGTCTTCCTCAGGATTTTCTTCAAGTTCCTCGATCTCTTCGATCTCGTGATCGATACCATCGACGTTTGGCCCAGTTCGAGCTCCTGTTTCGCGAGTCTCTGTAGCCAGTTGTTCGGTAGCCTCAACTCGCGGTCGAGATCGGCTACTGCTCGCGCCGACCGATCTGGAGTTTTTACGGATCAATTGCGGAGGATTACTCTCCTTGTTGGATGAGTTCGTTGAATGAGGGTTTGAAGAGGAAGAGCTCGGCTACGAGGATTCGCGGCGATCTTCCGAAAGGATTTGATTAGAAGAAGAATTAATTGAAGAACTGGAAGACATTTTGAGCTCGGAAAAGTAGATTCGAAGGAGATCTAAGAAGAATGAAGAACAGTTTGAAGATCAACTGGAAAAGATTGAAGATTGAATTTGAAGATCGAACGGGAAATTAGAAGATTGATCGGAAAAATCGAGGGTTTGCGGCGGCGGAAGTTGAAGAAATGAGAGAGAACTACGAATAAAAACTAGAGAGAGAAACAAAAATCTAGAGAGAAGGGAGAGCAACGTACCTTATATATGCTTGAACGAGAGTAATGAATGTGAAAAGAAGTTTTTCCCTTATAAACAGTGGGAATCGTGGTTCCTCGATTTTCGCGAAGATCCTGGAATTCACGCGCCGCATTGAAGACAGGGTGCGAAACGTCCGAGAATGTGAATCGATTGCAGTTACCGATCTCAGTTTGTGACTTACTTTGAATCAAATGAGTTCGACTAAAGCCACTTCCTTTCATCGAACTGAGGGGGGGGGCTAACTGTTGGAGGTAAAAACCGCACCCCGGTTTTCTCCGGTACTAACCGAGATCGGCATAACATAAGCCCGGTTCACGAAGAAATGTACCGGGAAGACTGGGCCGAGTAAAATCTTGGGACGAACGCAGCCCATTAAGCCAAGGTTGGCGAGAAGCTTCTCGAAGGAACCGAGGAGTTCCCCGAGTTCGGTCGAGTATAGGAAAGTTGCCTAAAGGAAAAAGGAAACTGCTACGAGAAAAGGAAAAGGACCGAGAGAAAAGGAAAGTCCTCTCGGTCCCATATCGCTGAAGATGTTCTCGATGACCGACTCAGAGGATATATATAAAGGAAGATGAATCGACACCAGAGAACACAAGAGATTCCAGAGAAGACTTAGAGACTGAGAACTCATTACGCTAGATTCTTAGTTTCATAAAGTCTTAGCTTGTTGTTAACTGCTTAACTACCGAACTCAGTTGTATTCTCTCGATTCGATCTAATAAAAACCGAGTTTACCGATCTAAAGTACTGTTTTACCCCTTGTTGATATTCACTTATCAACAGTTGTTGCTGACCAAAACCTTGATTCTGAACAAACTGATTCTTGGGTTGAAAAGATCCTTGAAAGTTGTTCTTGGGAACAATGTTCTGTGGAGCTTGAGAATTGGGATAGACCTGGTCTTGTGGGTTAGCTACATTGGGGTTCCTGTAAGAAAGGTTTGGATTGGAATTACCATACTGATATCTCTGGAACCTCTGATTCCCAATGTAGTTAAGCTCCTCTTGGGTGAGGCCCTCTTCACTTATGTTCTCAAAGATTTAAGATGGTTCCTCATACTCTCCAACAAAATGCATTGGCTTGTGAGTTACCAACTTCAACTTGTCTAATTCATTTCTCAACTCCTTAACTTCCCTAGTGAGCCTCTGTTCTGAGCTAAAACCTTCACACCTATTTGATCTGTCATAGTCTTCACCATAAGTATCATTGCTCAATGCTAAGTTCTCCACTAGCTCCATACTGATGAGCATTGGCCCTGTCATTCTCTCCAACATAGACTTGGGGTTGCTCATATCTTCTTTGTTGGTGTTGGAAGGGCTGGGGTTGGTGGTGCACTTGTTGTCTTTGCTGAACATTGGCCTGATGCCTCTGTTGATGAGCTTGAGCTTGTCCCTGGTGGACATAAGCTTGTTGGTGATGCACCTGTTCCTGATGAACATTGCCCTGATGAAGCCCTTGGCCAACTCCATTACCAGCTCCATTACCCTGAGCCTGTTGCTCCTGAACTGGTTGTTCTATGTCTACCACGTGATCTCCTTGTTCTGCCATTTCAGCCTGATCAACTTGTCTACCACGTCTGTCCCTTCTCCTCCTTGGTACCAGAAGATTGATATTGTCGTTGAGAGGGAAAGGTGGACCACAGCTTCTTGATCTAAACCTGGTGTTCATACACCTGAAATCACAAACAGAACTTGAAAGTAATCAGTAAAACCAAGAAAGTAAGCACTTGATCTCAAGAATAGATCAAAGCTTAATGCTAAACAAACCACAATTTGGCAACTGCGCCAATTGATAACTAAGAGTTTTCAAGGCTCTTTATAGAGGTTATCAATCCCCTGTCTTGTAGTACAAGGGGTTTATCAATCCAGATGTGGTGTTAGACACTAAACTATGTGATCAAGTTCTTAATTCAAGCAAACAAGAGTGGTTTTGATTATCTAAAGACAACTACAAACTTAAACAGGATTAAAGACTAATGACAATGACAAATGGTATGAATATGATATGATGGAGGCATGAGATTCTAGACATGATAGTTGGTTAGGGTGCTTTGGTGCTAAACTAGAAATGCTAATGACAATGATGAGACATTATTCAAATGATTAAGAACTCTAATCTAGGTTAATCCTCTCATGAAGGTATTAACCCCTATACTAATCCATTTTCAAACCAAATTCCCATTTGTGAAATATGAATCAATATGCATTAATAAACAGTTCTTAATGATCATTCAAGCAAATAACAATACATCATCATGCAGAAAATGCTTAAACCTCTAATACAGCTCTTTCAGGAATTTCATCAAACACTTTTGTTGCATGAAATTCCCAGAATCTAGATCTCAAGTGATATGCAAGGATCTAGCATAGAGAACAGCTGTTTAGAGAGATGAATCAATGAATCTAGCCCTAAGCACTCCTAATCTAACACTTTAGCACCCTAACCTGCACATCTAGAACCTCCTTAAGGTGACTACTCACTAATCATACTAATCTCAATTAAACCTTTGCAAGTTGAGAAGATTAGCATGATTAATGATGAGAAATGGAGATGGATATGATAGATTAAGAAGAAAGCAGCTTTAAAACTCAAAGATCTCTTCAACTCTCTTGATTAAAAACCCAAAAATCGATATTTCTCTTCTTGGTGGAGTCTTTTTCACAAAAGATGCAAGAGACAAAGGGAATAAAGCTTAGTCCCATCAGAAAAAACCCTAAAAATGTATTTATATCTCTCTAAAAACGAACCGGGTCAGCCCGGAACAAACCGGGTCCTGACCCGGCTTTAATGGATAAAGTGGGAATCCTGCGGGTTGGTCCAGTGTCTCCCAGGTAGCATGCCCAAGTCGCAGTAGATGAAGAACTTGTCTTGTGAGACTTAAATCGCTTTGTCTTAGCCGCATGCCCAAGTAGGAGTGATTTGCGAGTCTTGCTGCGGCTTAATCTTCTTCTTCTTCAACTCGCAGGACCAAGGCGGTTTCTGGGGAGTGTACAAACCGTGCAGGTTGGTCTCCATTGCACTCAGGTCGCAGGCTCAAGTCGGAGTAGATTGCGAGTGATCGTGCGGCTTGGTTCCAGGCGCGGCCAACTCGTATGCCTAAGTCGCACGATTGTGGACTTAGCAATTTTCTTGCTCGGGAGCCTCAGACCTTATCCAGTGATAGCTTACCCGCACTTCTCAACTCGCAGCATCAGCCTTCAGGCATTCATCTTCAGGCCTGCGGGTTAACCAAGTCGCAAGACCATCTCGCAGCATTCAGAGCAGCTTGGACCAGTTCACATTCCGGAGAGTGTAACTTCTACGATACTTGTCGGAATTGAGTGATTCTGGTTTCAGAAGACAGAGGACTCATTTATCTCCAACTTTGGTGAAAGAATCCTCGGTGCTGGGGAAGTGGAAGGCTTCCTGGAGGGCACATATTTGCAGCGCATTTACACGAACAGAGAGAGGCGTCTAGACATGTGTCCATTCCGGAGACCGTATCGTCCTGCTCATAGCTCCGAATTGAATGATCTCGGACGTTCTGGAAAGAAGACTCATATTTATATGATTATCATGAAGGCCCCGGAAACTGAATCGGCCTGGAAATACACCGTCCTTCGCATTCTTCAGAGCTTATCTGTTTGGTCCAAAACAGCAGCGAGACAGGGGTTTCTTCCGACGAGCTTAACTCTCTGCTCACGCGTCCGAATTCCATGATTCCACTTTCTATGGAACCGTAATCCAATCCTCTCCAACGTTCATGAAGCACCCGCCAACTGAATCGGAGCGGAAGGTTCCCCGGACAGGCGATTTCGGAAACGTGTCTGCACCCGGAGATTTTGGCCGATACAATCCACTCGTGGTACGCGTTTTGGCCGATAAGGTCTACCCGCGGTACATGAAAATGGCTGGTAAAAACCTTCCTGGTACGCGAGAATGGCCGATAACCTCCAAAAATACAAGTTCACCATTTTTCAAGCCTTGATCACCATTCCACCTCCTGGATTCATCTTTTCAGCTCCAAATACACCTGATAAACACTCAAAACATGCAAAGACTCATTGGGACCTAATGCATCTCCTAAGTTCTAAAACAAACCCTAAGGACCTAAAATGCATGGAATAAAAGATGATTTGGAATGAATTATGCAACCTAAATGATGCAAATTATGAACATATCAACCTCCCCGGCAACAGCACCAAAAACTTGATGCGAGCTAGGGTTGATGTCGCAAAAGAAGTTTTAAATTTGTAAACCCTAATGTCTGCAAGTGCACAGCCGTGCGTTGTAGTAATTAGGGTGTCGATCCACAGGGAGAGTTGTCTTTTTTATAAAAACTTCAAACTGGATTAGTAATTGAAGTCAAAGACCAATGGGGTTTTTTTTGTGGGGTTTTGGTGTCACGATTTCTACTAAGCTAAACAAGATATAAAAATAGATCCAAACAAAGATGAAAAACGTGCTGGGTATTAGGGTTCATGATCTATGACACAAAGAATCTAGGTAAGGATTTTCTATGATTCTGAAACTAGGATAGACACTTATAAGATTAGCCAACTCTCATCACCCTAATCATCTAATCACTTAATCTCGGCAATTAACTCTCGCTCTCATGCCGAAATAAGATCATGCATTTCAGATCGGAATCCATCTCAGCTTACGTATCCTCTGTAGGTAGCTTTCGTCTCCTACAACGGTGATGTCCATAAGATCCAGTTCAGGTAACCCATATATAACATTCTGGTGGTTTGGATTTAACCTTGGATCGGACTTAGATTCACGACTACAGCGTACCGCTTTGAGTATGGGATGAATGGGAGAATCATCTAAAAACGAAATCCTTTAACCTAAAAACCTAGATGTCATTTGTAACACCCCCGATTCGTACTAAGACTAGGACGAATCCAGAGCGCTACAAGATGATAATAGAGGCAGTTCGTCAAAAGCAGCCCATACTACTTAGGTTAAATCGTTTCTGAAATCACGCCTCTCGAACAAGACCTATGGCTTTTCAACCCGTATCTCAGTTTTGTGTTGTTTCACCTTGGACTAGCTTATATCACTAACACAAGCCTAGTTTTACTTCAAAACATACTTTATATTATTAAACTTTGAAAATATTGTCTTACAAAACGATTATAGCGAGACGGCCATGGCCTAGTGCCCAAAAGATACTATGTACATACTTTGAAACCTTGTTTTAAGCCAAACCAAAACTACTCCGGCCTCCTACTGTCCCGCCTTTCCCGAGCTATCCCGACAACTGGTCACCTGCAAAACAAATGAGTCATGAGTATTCTAGAAATACTCAGTGAGCTCTGGGGGTACTAAACACACATTAGTTCTCAATCCCCATGCAAACAATCACACAATCAATAATAATGCATCATCGTATGCACAAGCGGAAGCAATCTAAGACATAAGACCTTATATGTCAAACAATCTCGTTCCCTAATGTGAGGCCTCTAAATGCATCGGCCACTCTCCTAATTGCAACGATCCCGCAAATCACCACACAGGATCATCTTGGCGACCTTTCACTGATCTATTGACATACCGTCACATAGCATCGGACCGCCATACTGGCAGCACTCGGCCAAGGAAGCTACCTTTCGACCCTCTGAGTCGTCCTACCTCTGTGGCCTGTCTCCACATAGATAAGATATGTGGACGTGCCGATCGCATCTAATCTAAGAACGTATAAATCCTACCTTGATTTATACTTCCTAGATGCATCACCAAATCACACACAAACAATTAAATATGACATGCAAGACAATTAAATATGACATGCAAGAGGTCCCTTTACTTGCATTCATCATTTAATTTACCACGTATCATTTCTATCCGGTTTTCCCTAAAACCATAAAAAATAATATGTCAAACCTTTCAGCGAGCACATCACCAGACCAGAATAACACCGCTCTGACGTTATTCTTCCGACCAGATCTGCATGTTAGTTCATTAACATACACAAAAACCGGAACGCACCCTTAACGCAGGTCCATCACCGATCTTAACCCCTCTTGCTCCTAACTCCGGTATTCATCTAGATCTATAACCATATAGATCTAATAAATAACTAGCCTAGGACAAGATTAGAACAGAAAGGGTTTACTCTACGACTTACCGACCGTTCCCTAAGCCAGCACCGCGCGACCACTTCCCGCAAGCAGAATCCTATCGCCGAATACCCGAACTCACTCCTTTCTCTCACTACTTTCTCTCTCAAGAATTCTCAGATTTTGAGATGAGATTTTCTGAGCTTAAGGGAGGGGTATTTATAGGTTTCATGGAGGTTCTTAATGTTTGCCACATGCTAAACACTTGTCAAAAACCCTTAAACATTAGTCAGCAGACTTAACACTAATTAATCACCCTTAATTCTGCGCCAAATGTGTGGACCAGAACCAGCCACATCTGTTCTTATCCGCACATAACCCCCATCATATTTCTGCATTTTTACTATCGCTTCACGACAATCTGACTCGCTCATGCTCCCTCGGCCAGAACCTGATCCCTCGGCAAAAATCCAATTCTCTCGGCAGAATTTTTATTTCCCTCGGCTAAATCTTTCTTGCTCGACCAAAGTTGCTTCTCTCGGCAGAATTCAACTATCTCGGCCTTTACCGGATTTTTCCTGGTCCGTTCCTGACTCAGCACTTAACCGCGGTCACCCGTCCGCGTTTACTCAACGACCGGGTTGTTACATTCTCCCCCTTTAAAAGAATTCGTCCTGAATTCTAACTAAGAGTGCGAGGGTTCCCCTTACTCTATCACTGTGCCTTCCTCGAAGTATTCTGGATGCTCTTCTCGGAATCACTCCTCATCTTCCCATGTTATCACTTGTCTGTTCTGCCTTCCCCATAACACTTGAACTTGTGGGCTGGTGTGATTCTTAAGCACCCGTTCCCGTTGCTCTCCTATCCTGATAAATCTTTCAGGATAGGTAAGGTTTGGCCTTAATTCTTCGATAGGCTCCGTCATTATCGTATTCGGATCCGGTACATGTTTTCGTAACATAAACACATGGACACCGGGCGCAGGTGCATATCTTCTGGAATTTCTAACCTATATGCTACCTCTCCAACCTTTCCTAGAATATGATATGGACCAATATATGAAGACAATCACGAAACTGTCCAAGTAATCGTGAAATATTTCATTCATCAGCCTCATAAACACCGCTGGTGCATTGGTTAAGCCTAATGGCATTACCACAAACTCATACTGTCCATAGCGCGTGTTAAATGCCGTCTTCTTTACATCTTTCTCTAAAATAGGAATCTGATGATACCCAGACGCCAGATCTATCTTAGAGAACCAATTCGCTCCCCGCAGCTGATCTAACAACTCATCGATCCTTGGTAAGGGATACTTATCCTTTATCGTGACGTTGTTAATCCCTCGGTAATCTATGCAGAGCCTCATACTGCCGTCTTTCTTTTTGACAAACAATACTGGAGCTCCCCACGGTGATGAACTTGGCCGAATAAAACCTTTTCCCATAAGCTCTTCGAGTTGCGTCTTCGACTCGGCCAATTCAGCCGGAGCCATCCGATAGGGTGTCCTTGCAATCGGAGCCGCTCTTGGCTCTAAGTCTATTATAAACGGGTTACTCCGGGGTGGAAGTAACTCGGTTAATGACTTAAACACATCAGCGTAGTCCCAAACTACGGGTATGTCTTCTACCTGTAATTCCTTGTCCTTTTCGTCTTCCACCACATTGATTTCAACTAGATAAGCTTCCCCAGCTTCTAGTTCCTTCACAACTCTCAATGCTGCCACCATCGAGATGCCCTGACTTGGCTTGATCCCGTTGAACATGATTTCAACTAACTGATCATCATTCAGAACGACCCTTCCTCGGACGCAATCTAGATTCGTTCGATATCTAGATAACCAATCCATTCCTAGGATTACCAAAAATCTCCTAATAGGGGCAACTATAAGGTCACTTAACAGGACTGTTTCCTGGACCTCTATAGGTACTCCTAGCAACTCATGTGAAGCTTCTAAGGTCTGGTCTTCTGGAGTTAACACTGAGACCCTTACCTCCTTCACCAAAAATCATGCGTCAAACCTAGAAGCCACCTCGGGAGGCACAAAACTATGTGTCGCCCCTGAGTCAAACAAGACATGTGTAGGCTTCCCACCAACACTCAATGTCCCTACCATTCCAATATATATTCATACTAAATATATAATCTCAATTCCATGCATGCAATCAATTATGCAAATTGTCAATAATTAATTCATGAAAAGGGGGTTAGCGCCCACACTTACCGGTAATGGGACCCTTCCCTGCCTCTGAAGGTTCAGAAAACTTCTATTTCTAACGCATTCACCCTCTTCTCCGTCACTTGCCTCTTTGTCGGGGATTCTTTCGTGGTTCCGTCTGTATGCTTTGTCTTTTCCTTAAACGATTTCTCCCCTTTCTTTGGACACGTAGATGAATAATGCCCTTTCTCTTGGCATATAAAACATGTTATCTTAGCCAGCTTTCCATTCTTTCCGCGTCCTTCAGACAATTCCGGGCCAAATGCCCCTCTTGTCCACATGTGTAACAGGTCGTTCCTCGGTCCGCTTTATTCGCTACTCGTTCCTTCCTTGTTTTTCCTTTCCCTTGATTCCTTTTGGATGTCCCACCATCAGATACTTCTTTCACCGGTTGGAAGGATTTCTCGCGGTAACGCTCTGCTCCGACTGCCTTTTTGATTAACTGATGCAAATTCACATAAGTTCCCGAGTTTATGCAACTTTCAATGTCTCCATCCAGACCATTCATAAACCTCCTCTTTAATTGGTCCTCATCACCGTGTCCGAGGGAAATATAGAGCAAAAGTCGATTGAATTCTGCTTCATACTCCCTTACGGTCCGGTTTCCTTGTTCTAGCTGTAGAAAATTTAACTCCAGCTTCTCCCGAGCCTCTGGTGGAAGGTACTTCTCGATAAACCGATTTCGAAAGTCTTCCCAAGTTGTAATGGGGTAGACATTACTCCTTTTGGCACTTGCCCACCAGGTAAGCGCTTCATCCTCCAAGTGATAAACCCCAACTCGGTGTTTAAGATACTCCGGACAATTCACGGCTTCAAAACCTTGCTTGATGCTTTGGAGCCAAGCATCCGCTGCGTATGGATCTATGCTTCCCTTAAAGCGTTAGACTCTTATGCCTCGCATATTAGTTATTACTTTTAGAAAATCCGGCGGTCCCCGATCTTCTGATCTTGGTGCTCTTTCTAGCGCCTGATTGATTACGTTGAACGTCCGGTCCAACGTCTGCTCCAATCCTGATCTCATCATTGGCACCGGCTGTGCCATATTCCCATAGCTGGCTGGTCCCATTGGCCTTGGGTTCTCAAAACCAGGCGGTCCCTCTGGCAGACCAAACTGCACATTTGGTTGTGGCGGAATGCCCGCGTTTGTTGGTATTGGTCCCCAATTTCCACTCAAATCTGCTGGGTTTCCTCCTTGTCCAGCCCATTCCGAACTCATCGATACTGCCTCGCTCCCAGTATCGGTCACATAGTCAAATGGCCCTTGCCCAAAGAAGTCATTCAGTTCTGAAAACATCGACGTATCTGATGATACTTCCACATAAATGCTATGGGAACCGTCCCTCCCCAACGAAGAACCCCTCGGCACATTCCGTCCTCCTTGATTATCAGCCATCTACATGATGCACAAGGGTAAGTCTTAACCTAGACTAAACAAAATTTACCGGCCTAACCTAATTGGCTTTTGCGACACTGTTGACTCGATAAAACATTTGAAAAGGCTTGTCCCCTGAGCATGATCGTTAAACCATGCTCTAATACAAACTTTTGTAACACCCCCAATTCGTACTAAGACTAGGATGAACCCAGAGCGCTACAAGATGATAATAGAGATTCGACAAAAGTAGCCCATACTACTTAGGTTAAACAGTTTCTAAAATCACGCCTCTCGACCAAGACCTAAGGATTTTCAACACGTATCTCAGTTTTGAGTTGTTTCAGCTTGGACTAGCTTATATCACTAACACAAGCCGAGTTTTACTTCAAAACATACTTTATATTATTAAACTTGAAAATATTGTCTTACAAAACGATTATAGTGAGACGGCCATGGCCTAGTGCCCAAAAGATACTATGTACATACTTTGAAACCTTGTTTTGCAAAAGCCAAACCAAAACTACTCCGGCCTCCTACCGTTCCGCCTTTCTCGAGCTATCCCCGACTAGCTATCCCCGACTACTGGTCACCTGCAAAACAAATGAGTCATGAGTATTCTAGCAATACTCAGTGAGCTTTGGGGGTACTAAACATACATTAGTACCCAATCCCCACACAAACAATCACACAATCAATCATAATGCATCATTGTATGCACAAGCGGAAGCAATCTAAGACATAAGTCCTTATATATCAAACAATCTTGTTTCCTAATATGAGGCCTCTAAATGCATCGGCCTCTCCTCTAAATGCAACAATCCCGCAAATCACCACACAGGATCATCTTGGCGACCTCGCACCGATCTATTGACATACCGTCACATAGCATCGGACCGCCATACTGGCAGCACTCGGCCAAGGGAACTACCCTTCGATCCTCTGAGTGTTCCTACCTCTGTGGCCTGTCTCCACGTAGATAAGGTATGCGGACATGCCTACCTTGATTTATACTTCTTAGATGCATCACCAAATCACACACAAATAATTAAATATGACATGCAAGAGGTCCCTTTACTTGCATTCATCATTTAATTTACCAGGTATCATTTTTATCAGGTTTTCCCTAAAACAATAGAAAATAATACGTCAAACCTTTCACCGAGCTCATCACCAGACCAGAATAACACCGCTCTTGTTATTCTTCCGACCAGATCTGCATGTTAGTCCATTAACATACACAAAAACCGGAACTCTCCCTTAACGCAGGTCCAACACCGATCTTAACTCCTCTTGCTCCTAACTCCGATATTCCTCTAGATCTATAACCATATAGATCTAATAAATAACTAGCCTAGGACAAGATTAAAACAGAAAGGGTTTACCCTACGCTAAGCCAGCACCGTGCGACCACTTCCTGCAAGCAGAATCTTATCGCCGAATACCCGAACTCACTCCTTTCTCTCACTACTTTCTCTCTCAAGAATTCTCAGATTTTGAGATGAGATTTTCTGAGCTTAAGGGAGGGGTATTTATAGGTTTCAGGGAAGTTCTGCATGTTTGCCACATGCTAAACACTTGTCAAAAACCCTTAAACATTAGTCATCAGACTTAACACTAATCACCCTTAATTCTGCACCAAATGTGTGGACCAGAACCAGCCACATCTGTTCTTATCCGCACATAACCCCCATCAGATTTCCACATTTTTACTATCGCCCTGCAACGATGTGACTCCCTCATGCTCCCTCGGCCAGAACCTGATCCCTCGGCGAAAATCCAATTCTATCAGCAGAATCTTTATTTCCCTCGGCTAAATCCTTTTTTGCTCGACCAAAGTTGTTTTTCTCGGCATAATTCAACTCTCTCGGCCTTTACCGGATTTTTCCTGGTCCGTTCCTGACTCAGCACTTAACCGCGGTCGCCCGTCCGCGCTTACTCAACGACGGGGTTGTTACATCATTGGTCATGGGGTCCCTTTTGATGGTCCTCTTTACCCAACAAGGTAACTACCCAGACATGGCTGAGCTTGACAACATCATCATTGGTTTTGAAATAGAAAAATAGTAAAGTAAAAAAGATTGCATAAACAGAATAGATAGATGAAAAGAAACAGCAAATGTTCAAGAGAAGAATCTCTATCTCCCTAATCTAAACCTAAGAAACAAAAGTTGGGTGCCTCCCTAACAAGGGGAAAAGGAGCACACACGAAATTAAGTCTTGTAAAATATATATTTATAGGTCTCCAAATGTTTTTGGTCGTCCTTAGGGCTTCTTTTGCAGAGAGAATGAATTGGGCTTGAAAACGGGCCAGTGGGCCGAAAATGGGTTTGTC